CCAGAAATGGTCATGAAGCAATTATTTGTGTATGTGTATATACCAGTGTTACTCATTCAAAGCTTTTGTACAAGAAATAATAGAGCAATTATTTGTGTATGTGTATATACCAGTGTTACTCATTCAAAGCTTTTGTACAAGAAATAATAAAATTTCCTTTTTTACCGAACTTACTGAAGAAACAAACAAAAAACCTTTGCATTTTGAGCTTTTAATTATGACTTATTCTAATGTTTTATAAAAGATAATTCATGCAGTACTATGATTATAAAAACTAACAATTTTTTGCCATATAAATTAATGACAAATGGAGGGGAGAAAATACAAAGTACAAAATTAAAGTTTTTCTCACATTATTTTTCTAAACAAGAATTATCATTACTTTTACTTTGGTAAAAACTGAGGATTTTATTACAAATTACTTTAAAATTAAAGTTTGCTTATTAATAGCCAGAGGGCCATTCAGTAGAGCACATAGTTCCGCCACACAGTGTTGATCATAATTGGCCATCAAAAAATACAAAAACGTATGTCTGTTGTTATCAATAGCCATGGACCATTTTTGGCAGGATAATGAGGAATAATATTATACATATGTCCATTACGTTTTATCAAAATCCAGTCATTTTTGACCGAGTTATAGAGCAAAAATATTGTGACAAATCAGTCCAATGTTAACAGCTGACAAACAAATACACAAGAGTGAAAACGTAATTCCCGTCAATCTTTGGTGGCAGAGGTAAAAAGACAACTGTATCAAAAACCAACATGAAAAAAAAAATATTGTTTTTGATAAACATTGGTATTTTACCACAATCAGTAATAGAAAAAATTTTTACCGTTTGTTTTTCATAAAGTTATTTCTAATAATTTACTCAAAATTCAATTACAGATTCATTAGTTATTGAATGATTATTTATAACACACTCAGACAAAACTCAATGAAAAATAATTATGCTAATAAAACCTAATGAAACTTTTATAAAACTCACAAAATTATTATGTAATAAATATACACAAACTGATCTCGATGTTAAATAATTTACCTTTAACTTTGAGCCACGATCATAATTTTTATTATTTTTTTATGTTTATTAAATTGTTACCAGCTGAATGCCTGTCATATGAGAGTATTTGCTGGTTAATTTTTCTTCTGAAAATTAAATCTCAATAAATGTTCTATGAACATGTTTTCTAAAAATTAATAATAGTAACAATATATAGATACATAAAGAATATTTGTCCTTTCTCTCGTGAAGCTTCCATATCATAGTCAAATTCTATAACCACTGTGACTCCCAGTCTTTGTAATCAAATGTTATCCTTTCTCTCGTGAAGCTTCCATATCATAGTCAAATTCTATAACCACTGTGACTCCCAGTCTTTGTAATCAAATGTTATCCTTTCTCTCGTGAAGCTTCCATATCATAGTCAAATTCTATAACCACTGTGACTCCCAGTCTTTGTAATCAAATGTTATCCTTTCTCTCGTGAAGCTTCCATATCATAGTCAAATTCTATAACCACTGTGACTCCCAGTCTTTGTAATCAAATGTTACATAATTCTAATCCCTAATTTAAACTATCATGTTATTTTGGTTTTTCTTAATATTGTATGATCTTGCTGTGAACATAATGAGTTATCAATTCTAAAAGAAGTTATAAAAAATCCCTACTCGACTGGGGTTTTATTGTGAGAGAAAATATTGAACATTACCAATGGAAATCTAGTGTTAGGAACAGAGAGTGGATTTTATATGTATAGATATAACACTAAAAAGGACAAGGTTTTTTAATCTTCAACTTATGCACAATTTCAAATCTTTTTCTGTCAATTCTGTATTTGTTATTAGTCACACTCAGCATTTTCTACATAGTTAACAACAGATGTCAGGAATTATTACGAATGTCCCTTAGACACCTGCCTTTCAAGAAGTATTTCACAGAGAAAAAGTATGCATTATTCAGTATATGGTTGCCCTACGAAGGCTTTGGTAAAAGGGCCAAGAACTCAGAATTAAAGTAAAAGCATTTAACATAGAATATATTTTTTACCTAAGGAAGACACATACCAGATAAACATGCTCGGACAATACCCAAAGAAAACAAGACCCAATAAGAGAGCACAAAAATATGTAACTTTTTCTTACCAGTATCTTGAAAAACCTTGAAGTGATGGACATTAGAGGAAGATGAAAAGAGACAATGTTGTAATCGTTGAACACAATAATAACACTGGTGGGAGAAAAATGTCAGAAGAAAAGCTGTCGCAGCAGACATTAGAGGACTCCCTGAAATCAGAACAAATCTTTTAATAGACTCGAATATAATTTATTCAGAACGTAAACATTAGATGAATAATTGTCACACTTACCCTACGGTACAGACTTGGGACCTAAATAATGATAGGTGGAAGATGCCTGGCTTAATTGTTGTGTAGGTTGTGTGTATAATACATTCCACAGAAAAAAAAATATATGTGTGTGGGTGGGTGGGGGGGCTATTATAACAAGACTTATAACAGCAGACTTTATTCATTATATACCAAAAAATTTGTCATGAGGATTCTTCAACTAAGAAAGCTCCTCGCAAGAAGTTAAGTCCTTATTTTCCAATAGTTGAAACTTACTTGTTACACAAACATATGGAACACCTACAAATACAGATAGAATTAATCTAAATCCTAGCTCCATTAGCCATTTGGTTAATTAATACAGTAACAAATACAATACTAATATATGCAGATTGAATTATAAATTTGGTTTTGTACCACCCATGAAGGCCATAAAAATACACAAGTTTCTTTAAACTATCACTATGTAATAGTCTGAACATGCACCAGAAGCAAAGAAGCATTATAATTATATAAAAATATCACCAGTAATACAAACTGCGTTGTACAACCAAACTCCTGCTTTGTAAAACTCTAACAACACCTTTCCAAAATGAAACTAATCATCAGGTAAGGCTTAGTTGCAATGAAAGTAAACAGAGAAATAAGAGAAAATTTTACCAGTAGTCTGTAGCCGATGAACGCACATGACAGCCATCAATGTTAACTTGAAGAGCAGACTGCTATCAATCTGTTCAGTTTCTTTATTTTCATTATTTATGTATTGACCTGTGGTCATACAATGGTGAAAGTCCTGTAGCAAGTCTTGACAGAGTGACTGTACACTACACAACACATAAAGGACCAATGAGAATCCTAACATGCATGGTCTTATAATAGCTAATGACCCTTGTAGTGAATTATACATTTAGCCAGCAAAAACAATTTTTGTCATTCATTTGATGTTACAATTAGAAAACTTATTGTGACTTTCTTTACTTCGTATTAGTTAACAGTTCATAAAGAAGTACTTATAAAGTCTAGAAATGTTGTAATATCCTAATGGCAAAAAGACATTAGATTAAAAGAAAAGTCATGTTTTTGGTCTTACTTGTCTTCTTGGCACATCAGAAAGTCTTCACATAACTTCACAAACCTGGCTAAAAATCTTTGTGTCAAAAGATCACTAAAATATAATGAAGAAAAAATATTTTACCACTCAGATAAAAATATTATTGAAACATTTACTTGAAAAGTGAAAGGAAGTAAGAGGGGTGTTGCATAATCTTCACAAATAAATGCTGTCCTACTGAATTTCCTTTCAGAGAGACATGCATAATGCCCAGTTTTAAATGCTGTCTTATTGAATTGCCTTTCAGAGGGGTGTGCTTAATGCCCAGTTATAAATGCTGTCTTATTGAATTGCCTTTCAGAGGGGTGTGTTTAATGCCCAGTTATAAATGCTGTATTATTGAATTGCCTTTCAGAGGGGTGTGAATAATGCCCAGTTTTAAATGCTGTCTTATTGAATTGCCTTTCAGAGGGGTGTGTTTAATGCCCAGTTTTAAATGCTGTCATATTGAATTGCCTTTCACATCTCAAGTGAGGAAATACTTTTAATTATTGTGATGTAAAGCTTAGTTTTTCTGTTGAGTAAGTAATTCTATTAAATAATAATACAAATACAAAACAACAACAACAAAGCAATAAAATAACTAAATTATTTAATTCCAGTGAAATAAAATGTTAAAAAGGTTTTGTAAAACCTGCTAATTTTACCTAAAAGTATACGGTTCAGATCTCGTAGAATATCAAAATATTTATTGCTAATGTTTTAAAGTTTTAATTGCGAGATAAAAAAGATCCTTAGGTACAGAACTAACCCATCTACTTCTGATTCTGTGTGATCCAATTCCTTGAAGATCTGAATATTCTTCTCAAAAACACGTTGTAAATTTCCTTCAGCCCCATCAAATGGCTTTGGTGACTGTAAACTAAGCAACAATGATAATTACTACTGTAAAGTAAGCAACAATGAAAATTACTACTGTAAAGTAAGCAACAATGATAATTACTACTGTAAAGTAAGCAACAATGATAATTACTACTGTAAATTAAGCAACAATGATAATTACTACTGTAAAGTAAGCAACAATGAAAATTACTACTGTAAACTAAGCAACAATGATAATTACTACTGTAAACTAAGCAACAATGAAAATTACTACTGTAAAGTAAGCAACAATGAAAATTACTACTGTAAAGTAAGCAACAATGAAAATTACTACTGTAAAGTAAGCAACAATGATAATTACTACTGTAAAGTAAGCAACAATGATAATTACTACAAATTGAATTTTTACCTTCAGCATCTCGGCAATAGAATAAGTACAATAAATTTTCTGTAATGATGTTGTGTTGTTTTACTATATTCAAGAGTTCTTATTTTAGAATATCAATCAATATCCAAAATTCATTATTAAGAGCTTTTGACCAAAAGTATACAATCTATACAGTTTGTCAGTTTTGAATTTTACACAATGCTACACAAGGGTTATCTGTACTAGTCATATTTAAAGTATATAAATGTTGTTTTACATTATTTGAGATGCAAATAATTAGAAGAGGTTAATGTAGCTTAAGTTGAAGTTTTAAAATATATTTATGGAATTTTACATTAGTTGAGATGTAAAACTCTTACCATCGTAAGTAATGATAGACAGCATTACAGCCTCCTGCTGTCATTCCTGTTAATGTTCCTAGCTGGTTGTGAGGCATTCCCATAGAGGGATCCACACTGAAAGCTTGGTAGTAGTAACGTTTTGCAAGGTCTGCATTCTCTTCATAACCGAGATCACAGGTGTATCGAGCTACAATAGTTTACAGATTAGAAAAAAACAACTTCTAGCAACATCTTTACTGTTGTGTTCTCAGAGAAAACTGCTAGTGTTGTGGCACAAGAGAGTAAAAGATCAGTTTTCTCGGCTTTCTAACAGTTTCTTATTAATATAATAATGGTTAACTTCTTCACTGATATGTACTTAGATGAACAACTAACTCACCCAGTCCAGGTTGATCAGAAACATGTGGTGTTAAGTAATAACTTGTGTCTGACATATTAGTTGTCATGTGAACTATAAGTTTTAGATCAGTTTTCTCGGCTTTCTAACAGTTTCTTATTAATATAATAATGGTTAACTTCTTCACTGATATGTACTTAGATGAACAACTAACTCACCCAGTCCAGGTTGATCAGAAACGTGTGGTGTTAAGTAATAACTTGTGTCTGACATATTACTTGTCATGTGAACTATAAGTTTTTAGATAACTGTCTGAAATATTACAAAGATGGTTACTGTTTTTAGATTCTAAGAAGTATTAAATTTATTTACAATATTTACTAATTCATGTGCAATATTTATGATATTTAATTCATTATGAAATTATTGAATGTATTGCATTTTTTTATTTTTATCATTCATTGTCTTCAAGG